GGAATTGAGTGACTACTTCGTTTGTTTGCCCGCCCCTCGTCATATAAGACGAAACCTTCGTGCGTTGTTTTTTTTTTTTTTGTCGGAGATGACTTCGTTTAGTCTCCTTGCTAATGTATATTCGATCGTATGTATCGATGATTTTGACTCTTATTTCTAATTTTAGAAATATCATTTTTATCGATCCAAAGTACATTTACGACTGACTTGTTTGTGTATAATTTCTTTCTAGCATTGAGATTACAATTTGATACGTGTCTGTTTGTATTTTTACAAAATAAAATACTATTCAAATTTCTAAAAAACAATGAACGAGTTATGCGTGAATTTACTTGTTGACATTTATATATCGTGAGAGTTTTGAATGTTTCGAATTATAAATAAAAAAAGTTAAAGTGCATCCGCCATGAAATTTAGACAAGTGAAAAATCTATCCAAACGAGCCCCAGTTGCGGAAGCAAGAGGGCGGCAGACAAAAAAGATGAGATCAACGGTTCGTAATACATCTGAAATCGGTACCGATCCTATAAATGGTTAATACCACAAAAAATCTCAAACTGGTATGCATATACCGTATTTAGCATAAACTAATCTTTATATCATAAAAACTCACAAGCTGGTATATTCGTGTCACATTGAGGTACCCCATGCTACATAAATCCAAAAGTAATTTTTCGCCACATTTATTCCAAAGTAATTTTTGTGGTTAAAAATCTTATGGTGCACCGGTTTGGGATAAATGTAGCACAAATATACCAGTTTTGAGTTTTTTATTATACAAAAACTAGTTTGGGTTTAATGTGACATGGATATATTGATTTCGGGATTTTATGACATAAGTAAGTGTGATACGGGCGTACCAATTTGGATTTTTTGTGGCAGTATTAGGACCCATTTAGCAATCATTCTGTTCCTGAAAGCTGATTCTGCTCATAAATTATTCTTTTTTATTCCGTGCTCGGGAATAATTTCTAAGTATTTGAAGGCGTTTGGTAAGTGTCCAGAATTTCTATTCTTGGAATAGAAAAAGAACATAAATGTATTTGGTAACTGCACAAAATTTCTTTTTATTAATAATATTTTAATATTATATTGAATTTTTTAATATTTCTTTCTTTTTTTCTTCCCCTTTCCCTTCCTTGGCCATGGCCGGTCGCCGGCGCCGGGAATTGGCCATAGGCCAGGGTCGGCAAGGGCAGCCCTCGCCCAAGCCGCGAGCCGCCCTCGCCCAGGCGGGGAGGGTCCAGTCCTCGTCGGCCACAGGCCAGGAAGAAGAAGAAGAAGAAAAATAAAAAAAAAATTTCTTGATTCTTGATTTTGTTTCAAAACTGATTCCGAGAACAAGAAGTTACTTTTTTTTGTTTCTTTATTCTGTTTCAAAATTGGAAAATTTGTGCCCGGGAACAAAAAATTTATCAATCGAATTTCTCTTCTAAAATTAATTTTGAAAATAAAAGAATATAAATTATTATTATTTGGCAACTTGGCAAACGGGCCCTAACCCTTTTTAATGAATAACGATTGGAATGCCTTTTGTTCCCCGTGTCGGAACCGAACGTAGCCGCAAATCTATTACACCTGCCAATACAACGATGGACGAATCCCGGGGACCCACGCCAAGATCGCCATCCATTCTTTTAGTATTTTTTTCTCGCTGCTTTCCTGTCCCCGCTACTTGATACGATCGTCACCTAACGACGGGGAAATATATACTATACTTTTGGTAATGAAAAGGACGTGCACTTTGACTCGGTCAACAAGATAATGCTCCTCATCATCTTTTCTCTCAAATTGCTCCTTCAGAGAAGTCAAAATTTTGGCCACGATGCTACATGAGTTTGACCTTTGAGATTAACGTGTGAAACCCGGCAAGTAACGAGGTTCAGCTGGTAGGTAAAAACCGAAAAAAAATTCCCTCGTAGATGAGGAGATATGGCGAAACTAGATTCGATCGCAGACGGAACCGGGACGGTGTTGCTTTGGGACCTCGGGTTGAGGGGTAACTTCATTGCTCGGGTCTGACCTTGGACATTAGTAGTTTTTGGAATGGACGGGCCTTGGTTCGTGTTTGATCTGGTCGTATCAGACTTTCTGACCGAATGTCCAAATCCGTGCGGAGCGAGCCTGATTTCCCGAGTGAGCATGGGTGGGTCAGTGATGGGTTAGCGATGTTTTTTTAACCGTCTGACAATTCCGTATATTACAAATTGTAATATATTAGGATACATCTCCCGGGCTCTACTTCCTAAACACTACATATTTTGGAATGTTTATGGAAGAGGAAGCAAAAGCCGACAATATGAGCGGCTGCTAGTTTCTTTTTCTTCTTTCTAGTATAGAACACCTGAATCTTTCAACTCGGCTAAACCTCATGAATACGCATAAATTGCCTCCTTTTTGCGTACATCATATGAGGTTTCCACCTATAAAGTGGCAAGCGTGCCACCCAAATTGATACGTGCGAAAGACAATGTGATATGGACACACGATACATCCAAATCAAACGCTTAATTGCTCAAACAATCTAAACAATTTATACGGGCTCGCGACCCGACGTGATAGTTATCAATACGGTCATAGTAAAATGTTACTCTTATTTCAAAAAATTATGAAAAGATTTATATTTAAATTCATGTGTGAACATTTGTGCTTAGTGACTTTCAAGTATTTCTCATATTAAAAGAAAAGCGCGGCGAAAATGCATAGACCTTAAGATTTTGATTAAATAAAAATGTAAAAAGCAAAAAAGGCAATCCATACAAACCTTAAATTGCATCCATGATTCGACATTAGTAGCTTTTATTGCCAAGTCTATAACTTTCTAAATTGGGCCACTGCAGTCTATTCGGAAGACCACCAATTAACAATCAGAGGGTGGAAAAGGTACTTAGACCCACCAATTGTCTTGGAAGGCTAGCGATTCGTGTTCTCGTGCCATAATCGATTTGCAATTCCTATCGACTCGGAACATCTTAATTATGACTCCACATGCCAAGTAATTGAACTGAGATGAAAACGTGTCCATTCACGTCAGCATATAAAAAATCGGGCGTGTCATGTCATACTCGAAATTTCTCTCCGCCGTTGATGTTTTACCTCGCGTCGCTCGAACGGGCCGTGTCCGATATCACTAGCCCTTCATGAGGCCCACTAGTGTCGTGGCTTTGTAGGCCTGAGAATCTCTTTCGATTCATGTTTATTGGGCTTTACCAGCATCCAATCTTATCAATAGTAATCAAAACGAGAGACTCGCAAATTAATGAAATTTTTTGGAAAGTAGACCTTGTCTTGTAAGAGCAACCCAAAAACAAAAAGAGCTTTTTTTTCGGAACGGGGACGGCGGTGACGGGATGGCTCGTCGGGGGCGTGAATTCGAGTTCGATGTGAGTTCCGATTACCGTCGAATGTGCAATTTCTTTCTGAACGCAAAAGGAATAAATTCCATGCCTTTCGAATGTGGCAAACCAAACATAAGAAAAGTATCAAACACTTTCTTCGTTTCCCTTTTCGTACTACACGTAGCCTTTGAGGAAGAGATGTGTTTTATAAGATTAGTCGCCACTTGGGCTCCGTTTGTTTTGCTGGAAAACGAACGATTCGGAGAATATTTACCTTAAAAAGGTACTCTTACATCTCTTGAAATAATTAGTCGATGAAAAATGATTTCATTATTGGCAATAATCTACGTCTAAACATTTACGTGAATGAGAGAAATATTTCCCGTTCATTTATTTCATAAGCGGTGCACGCGACTATTTTCAGGAACACTGTTTTCCAAATCATTCATCGCTTCCTAAAACTGATCGCTTGTACCGCTTGCAAAATAATCAGTTAATGAAAAATGTTTTCGTCATCAGCAACAATTTATGACTCAACAACATATTTACGTAAATGATGACATTATATTTTTCTATTAATTCATTTTTCTAAGCGGTGTAAATAATTATTTATATAAAAAAATACTTTTCCGAATCATTTACAGGAGCGTAACCTCGTACCGCGATGTTCCTTGCGTGCAAAGCAAGGCGTCAAGGGGGACTAAAGAAGGGGGGGTGGGGGGGGGGGGGCATCAAAGTTTCGGAGGAGGAGGGGAGTTACGACAAAAACTTTATCTTTTCGGGGCCTTAACTTTTGACGGACATCAAAGTGTAATAAAAAAAAAATTAAATTTCCGGCTTTAAAAAAAACGTCATAAACTGAAAAAAAAAAAGAAAATTAAAACTTTGGGGAGTTTCGTACGTCAGTGTAATTATTCATGTACGAGGATCCCCGGCGCTTTAGCATTAACAAATGAGGAGGAAGAGGAGGCGGAGGAGGAAGAGGGGTAATTCGGTCAATTCGGTGCGGAAGAAGGTCGTTGTGGCTTCACGTCCGGCACCCCTGCCCCGCATTAAATAAAAAAAATAATAACACAAATAATCTCTGAACTTTGACTAAATACATAATTTGATTTTTAAATTTTTAATTTGTTTAATATAATCTCTCTCAATATGGTCTCTAAATTTTTGGTACATGTTCAATTTAGTTTCTGAACTTTATAAAGTATTCAGTGTAGTCCTTGAATATTTTTATAAAGTTTAGGAACTAAATTGAATATGTACCAAATGTTCAAGAATCAGATTGAATAAATTGAAAGTTTAGAAATTATATTGAATATTGAGTTAAAGTTTAAAAATTATATCGAATAAATTAAAAATTTATAAATTAAATTATATATTGAATTAAAGATCGGGACTGTTTGTGACATTTTCTCGTAACGAAACAGAGTGTTCGAAAAAGCGCATGTCTCCGTCACACACTCTCTCTCTCTCTCTATCTCTACTGTGTGATTTCTCTGAGAAGGTTTTCTTGCTGCAAAGCTCGACGTCGCGCGACGTAGCACTCCGCCATTGATCCTCCCTCTTTCTCTCTCTCTCTCTCTCTCGAGGAGATCACGTACGCGAGAGAGAGACCCACCAATCGTCTCCCTCCCATTTCCTCCCTCTATATATACACCCGCATTGTCTCTACATTTCTTGCGGTGGCGTCGGACGAGCCAAGCGCCATTTCGCGCCCGCATCGTCGGAGGTTCTGTTTCGTTCTCTTAGGGTTTTTCGCTTCCCTTCTTTGCGCTCCGGTCTGTTCCTTCCTCCCTGCTGCGGGAAACTTACGCTGCAAGCGAAAAAGCTAGAGAGAGAGAGAGAGAGAGAGAGAGCCTCGCGAAGATGGCGTGGAACGAGCCGTTCGGCGAGTCTTCGGCTCCCCACCGGCCCGGCCGCCCCAGCCGGCCCTTCTACGCCCCTCCCCACGTCAGGCGGGACGACGGGTACTTCGGCCCCGGCGCCGGGCCGGCTCCGGCTCGGTATCGCCCCCGATTCGGCGCCTTCGACGACGCCAGGCCCGCCAGCGGCCGCGGCCGTGGCCGGAGCCGTGGCTACTGGGGCGGCGGCGGCGGCGGCGGCGGAGGTCGCTTCGCCGGACGACGGTTCGAGGTGCGCCGGGACGCTAGCCCCGAGAGGCGTTTCGACGACGCGTCCGAACCGGCTGCCGAGTTCCGCGACCTCGGGGTTACCGAGGAGAGCGGCGATGGCGGCGGCGAGGCCATCAACTTCGACGCGTACGAGAACGTGCCGGTGGAAGCCAGCGGGTCCGAGGTGCCGCCGCCGGCGGTGGGCACGTTCGAGGAGATCGATTTGGGGGAGGCTCTGAGCCTGAACATCAGGCGTTGCAAGTACGCGAAGCCGACGCCGATACAGCGCCACGCGATCCCGATAGCCGTCGCCGGGCGCGACCTCATGGCGTGCGCGCAGACCGGGTCCGGCAAGACGGCCGCGTATTGCTTGCCGATGGTCTTTGGGGTCTTGAGCGACGGCGTGACGAGGGAGAGAAACCCGTCGTCGAGAAGATGCGCGTGTCCCTCGGGCCTTGTTCTGTCTCCGACGAGGGAGCTGGCTTGTCAGGTAAGAGCCATCTCTTGCTTTGGTTGTGCCTTGTGGGGGGAAAAAACGAAGAAGAACGAGTTGTATTACTGTTGCATGACTTAGGCATTGTGACGGGTTGAATTATTGTACGTTAGATATCTTTGAGAATGATGCAGAACAAGAAGGGTTTGCTTGACATTGTATCGGCCCATGATTATGCCGGAATTTACGATGAGTTTGTGTTCTCTTTGGGGTGTTGTGTGGTTTTTGACTGTGCAGATATATGAGGAGGCGAAGAAGTTTGCATATCAAACTGTTGTGAAGGTTGCTGTTGCATATGGTGGTGCACCATTTGGTCAGCAGGTAGAGCTTCTTGTGTTTGGTTTCTGATGCTTTGTGCTTATTGAGGTGACCAATTGTTCTCCAGGTTTGCTTTGAATTTGAATGTACATTTTGCTGAGGGAGAGTGAGTATCAAGGATGGATTTGTGCTTATTAATTGTCGTGCCGAGTAGTAGTTATTATTGCATTTGCATTCCTTCATTCCTTTTTGAGTTGTGTAAGCTGGAGGGGAGGGCGGTGAGGCTCGATTCTGTCACAGGGAATGGTTGCCTCCATCGTTGTAACCGGGTCTTCAAATTGTTGTAATTTGAAAAGGCATGTAATCAGTAGTGGTGCTAGTGCTTTTGGATTTGCTTTGTACTCTGTGGGTCCTTGTGCTTACACCACTTGTTATGATGTTTCTTGACCAATTAGGACATTCAATTTCCAAGTCGAGGGTGGTCATGTGGCGACACTATCTAATATGTGTATTTCTAGCGTACTCCTCTCGTAGTGTAATTCCTTTTTTTTTTATTATAAGAGGCGTTACCAAACCTTGATCTGAGAGGTTTTTTTTTTGGTCGAATTTGATTTGAGGGTTTTGACCATCCACTTTTTTACCAACCCTTAAATCATGGGTGGATGAGGCTCCTAGTGTAAGTTTTTCTTTACACCGATGGTGTATGGTCTAATACTCTGTCTAAAGTTCTGGTTGTTGTTTGTTTTCTTTGGACTTTCCTTACTGAGACCTCCTCTTTTGCTCTGTATGTGTATTTCTCTTTTGTTTAATTTCTCCTTTTGACAAGCATGGTTCGGTCATTCTTTCCTTCCATAGTTATTAACAAGAAATCCTTCATACCAATTTGTTTGGAGATTTTTGTTAATAGGTTGCCAAGTTGCCATTGTGGTGATTTTTGGCCACTGGATTAGAGTAGCCACTCGTAGGTGTTCTTTTCTGGAGATCACATGAGAAGCTCTTCGTGAATGTGAAAAGTGACATTAATGGCATTTGGGATCCCATATCATAATCTTGCTTTCTGCTTGACTACCTGGATCTCTTTCATGGGAAGATTTGTACTCTTTGTCCCACAGGTTTAAATTGCTTAATATCTAAGGTTTTATGCATTTCCTTTCACAATACTCGGATCTCGTTGTAATGTCTGGCCTCTATACTGATTTTCTTTCAGGTTCGCACCCTGGAAAAGGGTGTTGACATTTTAGTTGCCACGCCTGGTCGTTTAGTGGATATGATTGAAAGAAATAAAGTCTCTCTTAGAAAGATTAGATATTTTACTTTGGATGAAGCTGATCGTATGTTAGATATGGGCTTCGAGCCCCAAATTCGGAAGATTGCGGAACGGTTGGACATGCCACCATCTGGAGCAAGGCAGACAATGCTATTCAGTGCTACTTTTCCAGATGATATACAGGTTTATAAATGCTCTCTGATAAGCTGCCAGCATCTATGGGGGGAGCTTAGTTATTAATTAATCCTAAAGTACGTAAAAACTGGATTTTATGGCTGGTATATGTAACTTATCTTCTCTTTTCACATTGCAGAGGCTGGCGTCCGATTTTCTCTCTGATTATATCTTTCTTGCTGTTGGAAGGGTAGGCTCCAGCACGGATCTGATTGCTCAAAAGGTTGAATTTGTTGATGATAAGGATAAGAGAAGCTATCTTGCGGATCTTCTTCGTTCCCAATCAAAAAATGGATGTCTTGGCAGCAAGGTACTAGAATTACTGAATTCAGTAGGCACATGTTCATTTATCGCAACATTGCTGTTTACTTAATTACATTCTGATTTACCATTTCATAAGAAGAAAAGTCATTCTGTTTTTCTTTCTTCCCAATTATGTGACCGTTTCAATAAGATACTCTAGTGGCTTAGCGAACATAAATGGAAGCATCTTTTGCTGCAGCAAGCTTTAACTTTAGTGTTTGTTGAGACCAAGAGAGGAGCGGATGCCCTCGAGAACTGGCTGTCGAGAAGTGGCTTTCGTGCTATAGCTATACATGGAGATAAAGTTCAAAAGGTTAGTTTTTCTAATCTGAATTGCATTTCTTCTCTTTATGGTACAATCTTATGCCTTTGCTGTACCTGGTGGCATCAAGTTGCCTAACCCATGTTTGTTAAAAATCCTGCTTGAAAGATCTTTTGTCTACGTTCCTTTGTTGCCGGCTTTTCTTGTGGGGTGTTTAATCCCTCATCTTCTTCTCTGAAGGAAAGAGAGCGAGCTCTGAGATCGTTCAGAAGCGGAGCCATTCCCATTATGGTAGCGACGGATGTTGCCGCACGAGGTCTTGATATCCCGCACGTTGCTCATGTTATAAACTATGACTTGCCCAGAAGTATAGACGACTATGTGCACAGGATTGGCCGAACAGGCCGAGCTGGTAAATCTGGGTTGGCAACTGCATTCTTCAATGGAAAGAATATGTCACTTGCAACAGAGCTCGTGCAACTTATGCAAGAGGCAAAACAGGAAGTCCCTTCTTGGCTCAGTGAGTGTGCCGAACAGTCATGTAATGGTAGCCATGGCCGGGCTCGGAACCATAGGGCGAGCAGGTTTGGTGGCAATGACTTCCGAAGAGGTGCGAAATCTAGCTACAGGGGCTACTCTTCTTCTAGCGGTTACAGAGATGCGCATGCTTATGGTTCTAGTGAAGATTGTTATGCTCACCCTCCCAGCACCGATGTTTACGGCTACGCTGCTGCTGATTCGTACCATTCCGCAAGTCACGGTTACTATGATGGTGCTAATAACGATTCTCACGCTGGTGAGTCGGACGGTTACGGCACGAGTCATGGATCAATCGTGGCCAGAGGTTGGGAGTAGCCTCGCCTCGCCTCGGTCCCGCTTTTGCATCTTTATGTGTTGACACAGCACATTCACATATGGGGTATATATTTTAGCTTTGGCACCGTGATAGGAGAGCTATTTCAAGAACACATTACAGGTTGGAAACTGGGAAAACAAATTTGGGCTGTTCAGGCTTGGGCAGCTTTTTTACTGTCTCGGAGTTTTTGTTTGGGGGTTTTTTACAGAAGTAGCTTCCAACTTGTGTTCATCACACTTTACCTGACCTGTTACTGCCTTTACGAAAAGGCATGCTTCGTTCTCCTCAAGGATCTTTAACTTTTGATGGATGGCCCCATCTTGTGCTGATATATTGTCGTTAGAAGATAACCCACCTTCCTATCGGGTTCCCTGATTCTTTTGGTCGATCTTGTGAGGGTGATTAATCTTTTGAACGTGGTTCTTTTTGCGAGCATGCCTATGGTCGCGCGTAAGTTCGATAGTTGATGGTAAGTTTTACAAACCGGTGATTTCGCATCTGACGGTTGACGTGGTATTCTTGCGTCCGATGATGGAGACAAATTGCAACAACTTCGCCATGCAAAGGATCACCTCAAGACCGATTGTTCGAAAAATGAAAATATTCTCTTAAATATAAATTAAATGAATAATTTAAAAAATATTTTCTTAAATATAAGTCATTCATTTTCCGTGAATCTCTATTTGTTTCGCGGAAAACATTTTTCTCATTTTTAGATGTTTGGATCGTTTAGGAAATGTCAATGGAAAATTATGTTTAAATCATTAAACATAAATTTCTCCTTAGAAAATAGAAATTATTTTTCAAAATATGATTAAATATCTGTACCTAGACAAAAAATTTTACGTTTGGGCACAGAAACACAACGCTTGTTCCCAAGCCCTTGACAGCAACCTCCGGCTTAAGCCGAGTCTGCCGAGGTCCATCGAAACCAAGCCTGGATCCTAAGAGGCCGGGCTCGAAACACGGTGCCCAAGCCAGGGCCCACAGAGGAGGGCTTGAGACCCTAGTGCTTGAGTCGGAATCTCTTAACACCCACACCTGGGTCCATTAAGGTTGTGCTCAAGTCCACCACGCCTAGGCTCAAGACCCGTGCCCGAGACCACGTCCATCAAGGTTGGGATCGCAACCTTAGTGCTAGTGCTTGAGTACCCAGCGCCTAGGCCCATGTCCATCTAGGTTGGGCCTGGGTCCTTGGCACCCTTGTGCATGTCCATTGAGGCCGGGCTCAGGACCTCGGTGCCCGTGCTCGAGACCCCAACGCCCGGGCTCGAGTCTCGAGTCCATCGAGATTGGGTTCGGGATGCTGGCACTCGCCTAGGTCAATCGAGGTTGGGTCCATGTCCATCGAGGTGGGTCTTGGGACCTTGGTGTTCGAGCCAAGGACCTTGACACTTGCTCTCGGCACCCTGGAGCACATGCCCTAGTCCCTGGCGCTCGAATTGAGGTCCATCGAGGCCGAACCCGAGATCCTAATACTCGTATCGATGCCTTAGTTACCTATACGTAAATCACTAGCGCCCGAATAATGTCTGTCTATATAAGAAAATCAAATCGGATTTTCCTTACCCAGCGACGGAAAATATTTTCCTGTTCATTTTCAAGTTTCAGCTAAACATCAGAAAAATATCGTCATTGTCGTGAAAACTATTTAAAAAAAATGTCATATTTTTCGTAAAATAAATGGAGCATGACACAATAAATATGTATGTTGGTTTTCATTTTTGTAATAACCGATTTTATTTGTAGCACGCATGAGTGGGATTCAAAATGACCGAAATGGGTACTTCACCTTCACCTGGCACTTCCTCAGTTCCTACTCCTCCTCAGCACCCATGCCCGCCGCACGATCAAACATCAATCGACACACGATCCTACGGCGGCGCAAGAAGGCGGGAGGGGGCGCGTGAACGGCCGGGATCGTCGCGACGCGCGGTACCATGCACCGGCCCACACCCGAACGCGACCCACTCTATAATGGCGACCTCCTCGAGCGATTGACGATTCCAGAGGACCATCGGCCTCTCTTCTCTCCCTCCCTCTCCCTCTCTCTCAATTCGCCCCCGCTCTGATCTTCAAAATCCAACCTCTAATCTGCTCGCATCTCCGGCGAATTCGACGCCTCATCGTCGCGAATTCGCAGGTCCGATCCCGAATCCGGCGCGGCTTCTTGCGGCCCTCCGACGATCGCCGCGCGCGTCTAGGGTTTTCCCGGCTCCAAATCCGATCGGTTCGGCGCCGCCGCCGCTTCCGACGATGGACGGCAACAAGGACGACGCGCTCAAGTGCCTGAAGATCGGGAAGGAAGCGCTCGAGTCCGGCGATCGCGCCCGCGCCCTGAAGTTCGTCGCCAAAGCTCGCCGCCTCGATCCGAACCTGCCCGTCGATGACCTGCTGTCGAAGATCGAGGGGCAGTCCGAGTCGCAGCCGGAATCGACCAACGGCGGTGAAGGGCCGGCGCCGGACCGATCTGGCCCGGCGCAGCCGGATCAGCAGAGGCCGTCGGTCCGGCACCGCGGTCCGTCGGCCGGCTCCTCGTCGTCGTCCTCCTCGTCGAGCGCCGCGGCGTACACCGAGGAGCAGATTGCGATCGTGAGGCAAATCAAGAAGAAGAAGGACTTGTACGAGATATTGGGGGTGGAGAGGAGCTGCACCGTGGAGGATGTGAGGAAGGCCTACAGGAAGCTCTCCCTGAAGGTTCATCCTGATAAGAACAAAGCTCCCGGGGCCGAGGAGGCGTTCAAGGCGGTTTCGAAGGCCTTTCAGTGCCTGAGCGACGAAGGGAGCCGGAAGAAGTATGACGTCACCGGTTCCGATGAGCCCGTCCACATGGCTCGGGCGGCCAGGCGCGGCCCGGCGCAAGGGTTTAATGGATTTTACGAGGCGGAGTTCGACGCCGATGAGATATTCAGGAACTTCTTCTTCGGCGGAATGCACCCCGCGACCACGACGCAGTACAGAGGGTTTAGCTTCGGGGCTGGAATGGGGCAGAGGCAAGCGGATAACGCGTCGAGTGGGTTCAATCTGAGGATGTTGATTCAGCTGCTGCCCGTCATTTTGATCCTGCTATTGAACTTCTTGCCGTCTTCGGACCCGATTTACTCTCTATCGAGGTCGTATCCGTACGAGTACAAGTACACGACGCAGAGGGGTGTGAATTATTATGTCAAGTCCACCTCAAAGTTTGATCAGGATTATCCCCCGGATAGCTACGAAAGGGCGAGGCTTGAGGTGAAGATCGACAGGGATTACATCTCCATCCTCGCGCAGAACTGTAGGGTTGAGATGCAGAGGCGGCAATGGGGATTTATAAAGGAGATGCCGCATTGCGACATGTTGCAGAAGTTCGAGGGAGTGGCTTGATGAGCGTGGAGATGAGGTTGTTTTTCCATAAGTTTTTTTTTGCATTTGCATGAATCTGGCCTGTGTTCTTGGCCTAATTTATATGAGTATTAACCTGGTCACAGCTGCTCATCTTGCCTCAGCTATGCAGACTCGTGCGTTTTGTTGTTTAGGATCTTTATTTAGAGCATGCACGAGGTTATCATTTAGGTGGCTCCGAAGAGCAACATTCTATGGATGCTTTCAGTATTTGGAAACTTCCCTGTTGAGAGGATTTAAATTATTGGCTCTTCTTTGAGGAGTAGCATCTGTAATTGTAATTGTTCTATTTTTTTTTTTATTTGCTTTGAATTTCTTGATGTTGCTGCTCTAGTGGTCTATGTGGAAATGATGCAACTGCTAGCTGGGCTATGATCGATGCTAGCAAGTAGCAGGAATACCTAGGTTTTTTAAAATTCCCATCATTTTTTCTAATGCGTAACACTGCCCTTTTGTATGGGGAATTCCATGTGTTTGGTACTTTTTGTTTTTACTTAATCTATATGAATTTGCTTTGAAGTCACTGTGGTCCCTAGCTGAACATGAGTTTTTCCAGTAGCAACGGCTTTGATGATTGAGTGGCGTCTATTAGGGATTGCCAAGACTTTTGAGCTGTTGTGTCTGTTCTTTCGGGGGTCGAACTAACTGCTTATTCTTCAAAATTTAGTTTATGTTTGATGGGATAATCTTCAATTCTTTCTTGCATATATCTACGCCGAAAGCCAGATTTTCTTATCTTTGTTTCTGCTGTCTCTTTTGCAGATTGTCCAATGGATACATTTCTTCCATTGTCTCTTGCAAGGAGATGTTGGCTTTCATTTGCACGCTGATGCGATGGACCTCAAAAGTAATTTTTGTTGTGAATGCGGAACTGAACTTCCCTCTTACCCCTTTAGCTAGTAATGCCCTGCGGCCCGGGGTTGAGACATATAATATGAATTTCTGCCATAGGTTATTCTTGTTTGTTTAACTATAATAGTTTTGAACAGTCAATGGGACTCCGCCTGAGTGTCGATTCCTCTGGAGTCGTCATTATATCGGAATTTAGATATGAAGCTATCGTAATGCTCTTAATTCGATCGAGTTCCTTGCACATATGGTACTACCAGGCTCTATTCTCCAGCTAACTGCCAGTATGGCTGTTTATATGGAAGCGGTTGTTGCTTTGCTGTGTAGAAGACTTGTCTTCATACAATAAATTTCTGTGGTGGGATGCCATGGACTATGCAGAAGATACTTATTAGCATTTGTTTTGCTGCAATGCAGTTTGTCTCCTGTTATAAACATATGATTTAGTGGGAAACATCATTAATTTCATCATGTGAGTTGTTTGGATCTGCCTGTTGGTTTTTTATGATTAGCTCTTGCACTGGGGTACGTTCAGCCCTATCCGTGAGGCTAGTAATCTCTCTCCCTCCTCTCCCCCCCTCTCTCCGTATGCATGTTCATCTTTTAAACGTTCGAGATCATGGAGAAAACAGCAGTCTTGATATGTTTTGATTTCTCCGATATACCGCATCAAACAGTTACAGGATTGGCAATGGTAGATCCATTATTTACTTCTAAAGTCCAGAAACAAGAGTGAATAGGTCGATAGTCTTTCCTATTTTTCCTTTTCTGGGGCTGGTTATATCAAACACTCATCCCGGAGGTTGCAAGTTGGATGCTGCAATGAGCAGTGTAGGTACACTCAACAATCTACCCTGACTGCCTGACAAGATATGATATGTTATGATTCATGGTGGAAAATGTGATGAAGGGCATGCCGTGTGGAGTGGTTCGTCCTTCAAATCAGTCAGTAATCTGGATTATGTTGGATGTGAGCTGAATATGATATAAAGTGACCGGCCAAAGATCTCATATGAGATCGGTAGAGGCCCTCTAGGGCTAGGTCACGTCTGCTGCACTTGGATAGGTTCTTTTTACCTTCAACATCGCCGGGATAAAGAGCAGTGAGAGCTGTGGGCTTCTGATGGGTCGCCATAGTTCCGACTAACTCAGACGTAATGGAGTAAGCAATACGATTTTCTAGGCGAGTCGATGGTTTAACAATTGTGCAGTGAGGTTCCCGAATTACAGCATACATCGGGTTTCAGAAGCCTAGCTGTGGAGGATGGCAAATCCAGATTTTGAGAAGTAAAGTCGTGGTAAAATTAGACGCATGCACTGGGATTGTACATTTCCATACGACGGTATTCGTTGGATGGAGATATGTCTCATGGAATCAACAACTGATACAACATTACAGTTTGACAAGTCAGACAGACCCTCGTACATCTTCACATAGTGAATTGCTTTGTGACAATAGTCAACGCTAGTTGTGACTCGAGACTCTTGTTTCTGCCTCCAGAGTCCAGAGTGAACCCCCTTTTCGGTCTAAACGGTGCGTAGAACATGAAGCTTGGCGAATCCTATTCCTTCGAGGTTAGGGCAAACAAGCCCAATGCACCTATTAATACGTACTGCAAGAGATTTACAGAGCGTCTTCAGGTAATGTTTGAAAGGCATATCGACTTCTATAGAGATGCCGAGTGACAACGGCGACATCGAAGGATGAGCTCAAGAAAAGACAGAAAAAATTAAAAGACTCGATGTTCCTAAGGAGAGGCAACAAACCTTGATAATAGGCTTGTCGGTCATGATAATTGTCAAATACCCAATATAAGGTAAGTACCTGCGGGTTCAAAGGAAATTGCACTTCCACATTAGCATCATTGGTAGAAGAATTGAAGTATTTAGATAATTAGTCAAGCGTTTGGTAAGCTCTCTTTATCCTGATATGCTTCACAATGCTTCTATAACCGGCGAAACCACGGAATGCTAGGGTCTCTCCGGTCGCGTCATTTTCAAGGAGACGATGAGTTCTTTTTTCCCCCTTAAACAACAAGCCAAGTTTACTTTATCAACTACGAAGTGAGGCTTGGAGAACAAGGCAGAAAGAATAGTATTCTGGGATCCAAAGAGCATGTATAGCGTGGGAGATGGAAAATGCCGGGTTTCTTTGCAAATGACCCCTGATTCCAAATACTAAATTTGCCAACAAAATGTTCAAAGGAAAGGCCGAATTACCCAACGGCTCTCCCCATGATATGCTGCTGCTGCAACCAATGTTGGCCGGGCGCATACATGATCCTATCGTTTACATTGTTATTGTCACCTGACAATTTAGCCAAACAAAGAGATCACGAAGCTGGGTAAGGTGGAAGGCAAATAAGAACAAAAGAAGCATCATGCATAAGAATCACAGCAGGCTGCTTATCAGCCACTCCTCATATTTTGATTGAATTCAGGAAAGAAAGCATTTCAGGGTGATAGATACGAAACAATGAAATTACAGCTCGGCGCTTTCCCAGGGAATGGTCAGCTTGTTTTTGCCAAGGTACAATTGGATGATCTCTAGTCTTGTGCTCTACCTTTTGTTAAAATGTCGACTTCGCCAGTGCCGCGATGCTCATGAACCTAAACAAAAGAAGCGAATGTTCAGCGTTCTATCAACTGGCTTTTGGGAGCACTAACAGGCCTTAGAGAATGTGATGTGCGAGCGCGCATGAGAGTCAAGAGAGAAAGAGAGCCTTACTTCAATAACTCGATGCACAATTGGAATATCGCGTCCCTGGATGATGAAGCAACCATGTCCGCATTGCAGAAACAGAAAATGATGTTCAGTATCTATGGGCCAAGCGCACATGACATGCATAAGAAGTTAAGGATATATCCAGAAAAGTATTCATCAACTAATGTAGCTAGCGACCTATTGACACAATGCCTTCTTTTTTCTGCTCATCCAAGATATTCCACAAAGACTTATCATGGTAAGGAAGAAGGGGGAACAAGCACACTTAAAGAGCGCATGCTTTTGGGAAGGATGAATTGCTCCTAAAAGGAACCTACTGAGTCTCTCCTAATTAATTGGATTGTAGTTGTGATGATTTGCTTCACGGGTGGATTAAAATTCCATGAGATGTTTGTAACAGCCTATGATTGTGATTGTAGGTCAATGGCCAGATGAACACCAACTAATATTACACTAAAAAGAAGTCGGTCCAAACCAACTGGGATGATAGAAGACCATTCGTTTCAAACAATTTTCTGCAACTAGAGAGACAGAGAGGCCTATGCCTCTTTTCCAGCAATGGTTTCTGATTTCAAGGCTTTCAATGATGCTGCAGATGTCAGATACTAGAAGTTCAATTCTTGTGTGAAAGGGTTCCTCCTCATTTAAGTGCGTCAGATGTCAAAAGCATTCAAAGGCATATCCAAACTAAATACGAAGCAAGTAAATTGGATATAAATGCCAATTAAATGGACGTACGTCTATATTGAAGACAACAATATCTCCTGTCCGAATGGGATCCTTGTTCTTATGCAAGAATAAAATGTCACCCTGAAAGAGAAAGTTGTGTATGCAGATTAAATCACTAGGCAGACGAACAAGGTAAACTCTACTTGCTTTCACTGCAAATTTTTTAGGATCAGGTGCGACGAACAAAGCACTGTAAACCAGATCTATCCAATTTGTCCATAACATGTCACAAAACGTGAGAGGAGTTACTGGTTTTACGGCTTTTATTCCTCTTCTTCTTGCAAAATTTTCATGATGCGCAAGTGAAGGGATGATGTGCGATGGATGGTGAGCAATAATCATCCAGATAAATCCCAGTTTCTAGTTTCTTGGGTGAAGTCATTTTCAAGCAATTTAACCAGGCTATGGAAATCTGAAGGGTAGGTAAGCAAAAAAGTTTAAACTAAAAGTTGTGCTTTGTTACAGGCATGGGCATCAGAATCTATACCTTGAGAGATTAAAACACTGAGTAATCAAGGAATGTTCTGAAGTCTGAATGGAAGAATTCATTCTTCATCGTCAGAGAAATAAGAGCAATTAGTGTTGATGTACATTCCAAAACAAAAAGCACCATCTTTGGCATTATAAACATCAGACAGGATTATACACAAATCTAGATCGATTGCTTATAAAAACTACCATTGGAACAGGAGAAAGACAGCAGAACCTTGCTCCAATCAGCTGGTTCAAGTCCCTAACATTTACTAGTGCCAATAAAAACTATACTCACTCTTTTGAAGCCAGGTTCCATGCTTTCAGAGAGCACCACAACAACAGGCGATTCACTACCGGTAAAGTACATCAAGCCCATCCATATCATCAAGGTTGATGTTGCTATCATGCCTGAGAGAGTCGAGCATATCGGGAGCAAATTAGAGGTTCAGTATTCACAGCCTAAATGTCCTAGAGCACACACTCAGAGCATTGATTCAGAATGATTATGCCACCATATTAGAGCAAAGAATAACTAATGTGTTCTCGTCTCCCAAATAAAAGTAACCCGCTCTATACTGTAGATTGAAGCTCGACTTTCATCATGTGTAACAAATGGCACCCAATAAGTTTCGGAGAAAATGGAGAACTTCTAGTCGTTTACTTAACATGCGATGCTATGACTTCTAGTTGTTTACTTTAACACAACGATGCTATTCAGCAAACAGTAGGGGCTAATACTCTTGAAAGAGATTATAGCTCAAAGTAATGAAGCTTAGGGACATGTTTAGGCGTTCCACCCCTGCTTTCGCCAAAAAGCAAAAGAAACGGGAATTAGGATCAATCTTGACAAGCAGCACGTAATGTTCCCAATTGGACGTATCACAACTTGGATCTCATGTTTTGAGGGACTAATCAGACATCCCATCCGTAGCAAGAACAGTTAGAAAAGAAGCCTAGAGATCCTGCCGTAGAGGCATTCCATGGTGATGAGCTTCTCCATCATCGAGTGCACTTCATAAAGAAAAGTTACACCAACTGTAAGACAACTCCCCACAAAAAAAGAACAAGAACTAGCCGTGAACACGACAACCGCGGATTCATCAATTTCTTATAGAAATGACGCGGGACTAATTGTGCCTTTGTAACCGACTCCCTTACAGCTCTTACTTCTAGGTGGCTACACTCTATCAGCAGAGCACAATGGCTTTGCAACAGGGCCTAAACTTTGGAGTCCCTGGGAAATCTCCCGGCGGATTGGTGGTCCGGAGAATTCCTGAAAGTAGCCGCACTCTAATGACAACTAACGCCACCCGACCAATGCTGTCTCATCTCTTCAGTCTACAATTTAAATAGATAACAATCATTAGGATCAGTCACTGCCGAAAGCTACTAGTTCCAAAGGCGAGAGAGAGAGATCTCGGATCCATCAATGCGCACGAAATCCATGGGACCCAACTTAAGCCCGCCGCGGCAAAAGAGAGACAGACAGACGGTAAAGCAGCAAGCAATGTACCGCACGATCTCATCACCCACATAACCATAAGTGAAAAACCAAGAACCACCCCCTTCAACTACCATTCACTCACTCACTCACAATGAACGAATGCCTCTAGAGTCTCGATTGAACAGTACAAATTACAACGAAAAGAATCCAAGAAAACGCATGCTTCTCGACAAATGGACTCTGAAAAGCTAGAGGGAGAGCAACAAACCAAGAGAGATGGCCTGAGACAGAGCTTGCCTGAGCTGCGTGGGCTTGAAGGAGTCCAAGGTTTCTCTTATGAAACCCATCCTCGTGTCAACCTCTGTTCTGTGATCCCTTTTTCCTGAGACCAACCCCAGGAAAGCTCCGGAATTCCTTTGGGTGGGCGTTGGGTTGGTGCAAGAATGCGCAGAAAATTCAAGTTGACCGTTGCATAGAACTGGAGCTTTCTCTGTCCATTTTATAGGCTCGCGAGAACTGGGAAGCGTCTCTCGCTTCGCACGACTCATCTAGCCAATCACAATCCTTCGTTGTAATGACAGGATGGCCACGTGTCGTTGTTTGAGTGGCTGAGACACGTCCCAACCCAACTGGAGAGGGGGCTAAAAACTCCGGGGGAAGCTCCCTCTAGGCCTAGGTTGCTTATGGTGCAAATGGTAACTATTCTGCTCCAGAAATCAAATTCTTGTCTGAAATTGATTTCTGGAGGAGAAATCTGTTTGGTAAAACATGATTAATTCTGCTTCAGAAATTGATTTCTGGAACAGAAATCTGTTTTGATTTGTTAATTTTTTTTGCACCTAAAAAAATTTAAATTTTACTCAAAGTAGGTGGCCACATGTATTATAAGCCATTCTGTAAAGTTTTGAAATTTTTTATTTTTTTAAATTTTTTTTGGGCACCTAAAAAAATTTAAATTTCACTCAAAGTGGTGGCGCGGGTATTCTAAGCCATTTTGTGAAGTTTTGAATTTTTTATTTTTTTATTTTTTTGGGCACCTCAAAAAATTTAAATTTTACTCAAAGTGGGTGGCTACAGATATTCTAAGCCATTCTGTGAAGTTTTGAAATTATTTATTTATTTTTATTTTTTTGGGCACCTCAAAAAATTTAAATTTTACTCAAAGTGGGTGGCCACATGTATTTTAAGCCATTTTGTGAAGTTTTGAAAATTTTTATTATTTTATTATTATTATTATTTTTGGGTACCTCAAAAAATTTAAATTTCACCCAAAATAGGTGGCCACAGTATTTTAAGCCATTTTGTGAAGTTTTGAAATTTTTGATTTTTTGGGCACCTCAAAAATTTAAATTTATTTCAAAGTGGGTGGTACATGTGTTTTAAGCTATTCTGTGAAGTTTTGAAATTTTTGATTTTTTTTTATTTTTAAAAAAAAAAATTCACCAAATTTCATATTTTCCCGAAATCTGACTTTTTTTTATTTTCTAGAGTTTTCAATTTTTATGCATTTTCTGAAAAAAAAATTTGTGAGAAAATAGGGAGAATGCATTCCGGAATCAAGAAGCTACAAAAAGTAGCTTCTCTTTTTCTTGCCAAAAACTCATTCCAGAATCAAAATGCATTCGGAATCAAGAATCGATACCGGAATCAAGTATTTTTAACAAACGCATTTTTATTCCAAAATGCAAAAATCGCTCCAGAATGCATTCCGGAAATTTTTTAACAAACGCCATTCTGTTCCGGAATGCATTCCGAAACAGAATTTTTATTCCGGAATGCATTCCATGCGCACCCTTAGAGTTTATTGGCACTAGTAATACCCAACTTATTTTTACACTTTGTGGTCTAACATATATAACTCCAAACTATACCCATCGCGACACATTTACCCTAAACCTTTTCTTGTAACACAAAAAACCCCAAACTTGTACTTATGTGACACATTTAGCCTCCGTCAAGGTTCCGTTAGATGATTTTTTAAGCAAAAATAACATCGTTTTTTTATTTCACTTAACCCACGTGGGCTCTATGTTAACACTATTTGCTTGTGGCAATCATGTAAACAGATTTTTAACTGTTTTCATTGACAGAATTTTGACGGAGTGTAAATGTGTTACATAGGTACAAATTTGAGATTTTTCTTGTGCCAAAAAAAAGTTTATGATAAATGTGTCACAATGAGCGTAGTTTTGAGATTTTTTTGTGGCTTTTACCCTCTAACTTATTGCACTTTGTTCATATTCCCATAATGGTCTCTGTGTGCCTACACCGTAATGACGCGTCTCTCGTGCTAGCAATTTCCAGATAAGTCGATCGATCCTCTAAACGAGGAATGTCGAATCGTTGATCACATATGTTAAGATCAAGCGCATTAAATGGTGGAAATTAATTTCATCGTCTCGAATTGTGAGATCAACTTAACTCTTGAATGGACATGACTTAAACTTACCTTAGAAATTACTAATCGAGACAGATCGAAAAATTACGGAATGAAAATCGAAAGTCATTACGCGGAATGTATCGAAATCGATCTACTTTGGGATCAAATGCGACGATCCACGAAAGATGTACAAGCCTCGATAATCAATGAATTCATTTTACAAACTTCCACTTTGTGCTTAGAAAAGTATGTTTCATCGGTTTCGAAAATGTTTTTCAATTTGTTTGTTTTTTTTGGGGGGGCCTAAACGGCGCCGTCTTGGGCGTTTACCTGAGCTCCAAAAGACGCAGCCATCATCCAGAGAAAACCTGCACATAAAAACCCTTCCTTTCGGGCGTCTTCTCCTCCTTCTCCTTCGCCCCCTCTCTTCACCAGCAAAAACCCTAGCCCCTCTCTCTCTCTCTCTCTGCACGGCCTCTGCTCATCGACAATGGTATTGCTCCCCATCTCCTCTTCGCCTCGATCGGAGCCCCCTTCTCTCTCTCTCTCTCTCTCGTATTTTGTTCAATTTGCTTTCTTTCTTCGTTGGTTCACCCGTTACGCGGCGTTCCTAACGGCGCGCGCGAGTGATTTCCCATGCTTGTTGTTGTTGTTGGTGCAGACGGGCGAAGCGGTGAATCCCAAGGCTTACCCTCTCGCGGACGCCCAGCTCTCCAACACCATCCTCGATCTCGTCCAGCAGGCTGCTAACTACAAGCAGCTCAAGAAGGGCGCTAACGAAGGTGATGGATCTTTGTCGCTTTCCTTGGGGGATTTTAAGGAATTCAGTACTGGGTGTGTCTGGTTTTGTTGGGGAATTAACGGGTTTTGTTTTGTTTTGTTTGGTTGTTCTCTTTTCTTTTTTTTTGTGGGTGTGTGTTTCTTCAGCTACGAAGACGCTGAACAGGGGTATCTCCGAGTTCGTGGTGATGGCTGCGGACACCGAGCCGCTCGAGATCCTCCTCCATCTCCCGTTGCTTGCTGAAGATAAGGTGACTTGCTCGCGCAGCATTCGTCTTTCTTCTAGTTTTTTGTGACTAAAATGATGACAGTTGCTCCAATAGAACTGCTAAGTAACGGAAGTTTTGGTTCTTACTGGGTTTTTTTTTTTTTTTTTCAATGAGAGAAGCTCGATAAGATACTTTGGATTATGTTGTGTTGGCTCTTTTTATCCGTCCGGGCATCCATCCCTCGTTAAAATGGTCGCGACTTTTGGTCGGTGGGATGGGGCGATCGATTAATATGAAGCTACCGCTTTTGATTTATGCTCTTATACTGGAGACTTTGTTCTATTTATGTAAAGTCCCTGCTTTTAATTCCTAACTTCATTGGAATAATGATGGGCGGTGTTCTCATTGTTTGGAAATGGGTTTAGGGAGATTCTTTTAGGCTACACATGGTTCTTGGAAACTAAACTTCACTGTCATCTCTATCGAATGCTTTGGTTAATGAGGCATTTAAATTGTATCAGAAGATTTGATGAAAGTTGAATGTCCTCTATATCTGTGTTATTTGTTAACTCTTTACACGAGGCCTGTAACAGGAAACTGTGCGTACCAACCGAAGTATTTTAGGAGGTTGGACCGTAAGAATCGGCTTACGAGCCCTTATAGTATCGGATTAAATGACGTAGGTTGAGCATTCTAGTTTTGTTATTGATCTGATCCCTTTAGGCTAATAACCCTTGTATTGCCAGTAATTGTTCAGTTCCAAATATCTTCTATTAATTGTGATGGTTTGCATAGTTAAATAAGTCAAAGTGGAACCATCGGTAATCACTGTATTTCTATTGCTGGAAGCAAGTTGATTGCTTAGATTGTGCTAGATGGCCTTCTGCTCATTGGGTTAAGTAGGCATATGGGAGAGGATGTTGCGCTGCTTCTATTGTGGCCTAGAACTTCATAATTTAATTTTTTTAGCAGGCATTTGTAAGTGAGTTTTGCTGATCAGGCATGTGAAGTGAATGTTGCATATCAGCTGATCATGCGTTGGAAGGATGTTTTCTACTTCTTGTACAGTTAGACTGATGGTACTTGTTTGGTTTCCTATCTGTGACGTGCTGTCAGAAACAAATAGTAATTTCAGGGTGATAGTGATTCTGCTTGGTCTCGGCTCTGCAATTAGCTTCAATTTTTATATGTGGTCATTGTATCCTTTTTTTTTTCTAGTTGTCATAGAACCCACCAATTGTGTAGTTCTTTCATGAAAAGGATAACTTTTATCCAGAATTATTGCTCCTGTTGCATAATGTCCTTCAAAACCTTGCTTAACTTATGTTGTCTATGCCAGTTGCTTGTTTAAAGAGTTAGTTAATAGAATGTGTAGATTCTCTCGGAGAGTTGTAATTCGCTAACCCTTTTACGACAGAGAGATTCATATAGTGGTTCTTCCTTGGAAGGTTATAAAAGTGTTTATCTCGAAAATGTATTCGGAGGATCTAATTATTGCGATTGTTGTAGCTACAATCATGACTCTAGCATGCACCTAACATATTAAATGATGGATTACTTTCCCTGATTTTGTTTTTGTTTTTGAGAAATAACTTATTTTTGGGAAATTCATGGTCTAGATGTGATAGCTACTGCTATATTTACATTCTCCTAACTTTTTCACAGCAAGTAGACCCTAATTCAAATGTTGAATGAAATGGCAGAATGTGCCCTATGTGTTTGTGCCTTCAAAACAATCACTTGGTCGAGCATGCGGGGTCACCAGACCTGTCATTGCCTGTTCCGTGACTACAAATGAAGGGAGCCAGTTGAAGTCTCAGATACAGCAACTCAAGGTATGTTACTGCCTTCTCATTGTGTCGCCTCATAGAAAAAGGAAAAAGAAGAAACATATAGTCATAATGCTTGAGGTTGTTTTCCAGCCTGATTGTTTGCGAAATGCAGGATGCAATCGAGAAGCTCTTGATTTGAATCTTTGTGAAAGGGCGAATCGGTGTGATGGGCCTCTTGACTCTGTTGCGCTTTGGGAGGCTTTGACTGAAACAGTTGCTAGTAGAGAGAGATTGTGTGTTTCTCGGGGCTTTTCTTCTTCTTCTTT